GCTTCTTTTCCAATGAATGTGAGGAAATGTGCCACAATATTAACATCCTCATCATCTTCCTTGGTCATAGCCCAGATTTCGAACCTTTCAAAGTAATCCTCAAAAGATTCAGGAGTTGAATGAATATCTAACTTTTCCATTGCAGGCTCCATCGCGACGCCAATATAGTATTCGAATTATCGTATGAACTAGGAATTCCAGGATTAACGCAATTGAATTAAGAAGACACAGGCACAAACGAATATATTGTATTTAGAATTCGAAATCGAGCATTGAACAAGTTCAAAGGCATCATTAGTTCATTCAAACACCACACGTCAATAGTCATCTCCAAAGTAATCACTAGATTGAATCAGCCAAGTTTTCAAGGCAAGCCAGCCTTGAAATTTCCATCCGGCAGATGGTCAGAGATTTTCAGTTTTTTGTTCCATGGAATCCTCTCTATGGACATTACCCAAGTCATTATACTTACTGTCATACAACATTTTTAAGTCAGTCAAAACGTCATGAATAATAGAACATCCACATCACTGATCCTATGAAATAATTCCGTTTAGTGCCCGGGACCCAATAGCATCCACCACAAGCGTTTAAACAAACCAAATTGGTGTGTCCTGTCTCTTAAATGTTTTGGAACCAATTGTGTTTTAAAAGCATTACATCACGTCAGAATTCCTATAGCAACATTCTGAAAATAAGAAGGACCTCTACCTATTAAATTCCCTTATTGCCCTAGATGCTGTTTAGTATGGGGATCAGCGGAGCTGACAGGTAACCAAGTGGCAGGCCCTACTGATCAGGACTGTCTAGTGAAAATGGTATGAAAACAACTGCCTAATAAATTGTCCATCTGCAGGCTTCCTCTGGGACCAGTTAGCTGAATCCGAACAACATCAAAATATACAGGATATGACTTTTATCACTTAACTTGGTTTCGATAACTCTTCTAATCTGAGTAATAAAACTATGACGAAAGCCTTACATGAATTAAGTTGGCTTAAGAGTGAACTATGTACACCACTGCTAAACATTTAACAACGTTAACTGGTTCATATGTACATCATAAAATATTCACCCCATAGTTCGGTTTGTGATATTGATTTCCAGTTAGTTTTTTCCTATCAAGACGTATAAGAAATGAACTCTTACTCAAATAATGAACAAGGAAACGAGCCAATTCGTTTGTGTAAGTCTACAGATCACAAAATACAGTATTCTTCAAAGCTAACCAAATGCGATATTATTTGAAGCCTTCATTTAGAATATATTGGTTTCTTTATACACTTACAAATAGATAAATTTGCTACACAAGAGTTGAAGAGTGTACTAATTGCTATCAGTTTTTAAAGCACACAAACTATTGAAAAAAACAAGATATTCACTAACTCTGAAAAACTGTTCGCGTCATTCAGTTTTCTTTCCAAAATAACATTGAAAGTGCATGATGATGATACATTCATCTTATAACTTATGATATGAGCTATATAAATCAAATATTTCATTTGAAGAATGTTTTTTTCTCATTTGTATTTATAATGTTAAGCACCTGACCTAACAAATACAATAATCAACACAAAAATTAATCCTCAAAATTAAATGAAATTAAAAACACCGTATTCAATAACTTCAGCTAAACTATGAAGTCAAGGAATTTTAAATGAAATCAGTCTTCATAGTTTAGAAAACTAAGTAAAAAATATGAATAAGTATTAACTCAGTTCTGGTTACTTCAAAATAAGTTTCCTTGCAATTGGTGTCGGGTAGAGACAAGTATCTACCTCAGTACAATGAAAGATGGTCGCGCAATTTCGTGGATTGGTTAATGTTAGACATTAACACCATTGGATGCCGGCTCAGTGGTCCAGTAGGTTAAGCGTTCGCACGCGAGACTGGACGCCCTGGATTCGAATCCCGCGAGCGGGATCGTGGATGCGCACTGCTGAGGAGTCCCACAATGGGACGAAACGGTCGTTCAGTGCTTCAAGGTTTCCAACGGTGGTCTAACGTCAATCGGTTCATGATCTCAATCGAAAAATTAGTTTAAAACACAAATCCACATATAAAAACTAAGTAATATTGTGACTGGAAACATTTCTATTTAAATCATGAAAATGGTCACACTTCAACTTTTATTTAAAATACTTTGATAAGTACATTTCGTAATGAGACTGTTATTTGAAATGAATCATAGGAATGCATTGTATTCTACGAATAGATTTCATTATTTTCATTACATTATCTGTATATTTCATCAATAAATAACTACAAATGATTCATTGCTTGTTTGATTAATGTTAAATGTAATAATTTGATAATTATTTCTAGAGGTTAAGCGTTCATGTGCGTAACCAATAGGCTCTGGGTTTAAATCCCATGAAGTAGGATCGTGGATGCGCACTGTTAAGGATACCCACAATAGGACGAAATGGCCTTCCAGTGCCTCCAGGTTTTCCATGGTGGTCTAGCTTCAATTGACTCATGACTTCAACTATTAAATTACTAAAATCTCCACAAAACCCTTCTCTGATTATAATAATCATATGCTGTTATGACTTTAAAATGGGTCGATTTTTACCCTGTGCTAATTGTTGTGTCCTTGACTGGAAAATTAGAGAGCAGCGTACTTATCGATCGATTACAGTGACACGTAAACACGGACGGACGGCCTAGAGTCTCGATTGGTCTCGCTTCCCTGTATAGCCCAGTCAGTTGAGTCCAGAACACAAGTCAGAACCTCTGAGATATGAATCATTATATTCCAAACATACTTTGTTTATATACCAATCAAGCATACCACATCGTACCATAAAATAGAAAAGAACATTTTGTACAATATTCAACAAGTGAACAGATATCGACCAATAGGAAATGTCCATTTAAAGTCCAAGGACACCATTGGACTTAACATGATAATTATTGGTCTATTCCTCCGCATCTACAACATATGCTCACTAGTGACTGGCTTCAAGGGGTATTTCCTGAAGTTCTAGTGAGAAGCAGTGACCACAGGAGTTCAACTGGGTCTGTTGTGAGATAGTAACTGACTAAAGACAATGGTGGATGTGTCACTCAATTTCGTGGATTAGTTGAAGTTAGACATTAACATCGTCGGATGCCGGTTGGCTCAGAGATCTAGTTTTTGAGCCCTCGCGCGCAAGACCGATAGGTCCTGGGTTGGAATCTCGCTAGGCGTGATTGTCAACGCGAACTTCTGATGAGTTCCACACTAGGACGAGACGGTCATCTAGAACTTTCAGGTTTTCCATGGTGATTCAACTTCAATCCACTCATGAATTCAACTATAAAATTATGTATTTATTCATCATTCAATGTAATTTTTTTATCTAGTAGAAAAAATTAATCAATTACTTAGAGTTACATAATTCAACTTAAATTACAATCTGAGTGTATACAATATATGTGCATAAATTTGTTTTTATGAATGGACTAATCACATTTTAAACAGTTACTAACCAAACATCATAATGTAATATATGCAATCATAACAAAATTTATTTAAACATTCAGGAATGAAACAAAAGTCAATTGAGAAATCTTTTTTTAACCAATGAATATAGAATCTCTTACCCCCCCCCCGCCGCCCCAAAAATATAAAAATGTAACGATGAAATTAAACAACAATCACATAGAAATAAACTGATTATTTCATGATTTGTTGATTTGATAAATTGTGGTAACTTATCGATCTAAACAAAGTTTAGTTGTAGTTATGAGTAAAAATTTACTATTTTCTTTCAATGTGTTACCTTTAATCAAAATAATAAATGAAATTAAACTTGAATAATTTTTGTTGTTGATTGTAATGATGATACGTAGTAACAGGTTTATATTA